ATTATATAATTGTTTTTGGTGGATTAACTCTTTGAATATAGTCAAATCGAATAAAAATCGCAACAGTATTTCAAATTGATGAAAGTATATATAAAAGATTGATTAATAATTAAAAATCACTTAATCTGGAATATAAATAAATTATAAAAAGTCGTCACTAAACAATTCAAATGAAACATATTCAAGTGAAAAGCCTTTTGTAGCACAACAGTTTTCAGTTAGTTCAGTTATATATATTTGTGAGTACATATAATATATATATATATATATATATATATATATATATATATGTATGTGAAATACATAAAATTTGGCTCGCTGTGCTACCCTTTATTGTGCTCTTTTTGTCAGACACAATCCCAATTGACTTGCAGCTTATGTCAATTGAGCTAAGTCTGTTAAGGTGCCTAATCTTTTCATGAAAAAAGCACAGGAAGTGTTTTCTTCAGACTCCTTTTCTTCCTCCTCTGCAGAAATAATTATTCCTGTTTATTGTTAAAAAAAAAGTGCTAAAGGTTTATAATTTATGGGACAATTTACTCAAAATGATGTTGCTAGCCAAAGGCATATTCGAGACTCACAATTTGCAGCTCAAATAAATTAAATTAATTTTAATTTTTTAAATTATATATCTGATTAGCTGTGACTGACTGACTGACTTAAAATAAATACATTATTATTAATAATTATTTTGATTATTATTATTATTATTATTGGTAGGTTTCAGGCAGATTTATCTCTATCTCCACTGAGCCAATAGCTCCTCAATTAATGAAGGCCAGCATCGAGTTGCTGACAAGTTTTCCTGGGAAATTAATTTTCCTCTCTATTCGACTTGGTCTAGGGTTACATATTCTGGTAAATTGTACTTTGAGCAGTGCTTCTCATTGTCATAGTTCAGCCAATATCTATTTTGGTTCGGGCACTTTGCTGACCCTTCAAGAGACCGCTGAGTAAGCCAAGTTTCCAAGCTTGTTGTTACACATGAATGTGGCTTAAATCATTTTTGATTAAAGCTGCCCCAGAGACACTTGGCCTGCCCGGAGACCTGGTCCGGCTCAGCTGCTGCAGATAGCATGCCTCGTTTCTCATTTGCTGCCTCATTGTGTGTGCGTGTGCCACTAATGAATACATACATTTGACTGTTGCATGTTTGTTGTGATTTGCATAAGCAAAAAACAAAAAAAACCAACAAAAAAACAACAAGAAAAAGAAGAAAAAACATTAATACAATTAATAATAGACAGAGGCCGAGTTATGTAAATAATAAATAACAGTGATTCGCTCAATTTGCATTGCACACATTCGAATTTAATGGCACTTTCCCGGTGCAGGCAGCCACAAAATTTAATGACTGAATCAAGATTTTCACTGCATCATTTTCACTTTTCTTTGATGCGGCAACAGAAAACGAAAGTGAAATAAACCAAAGATGAGAGAGAGCCAAGAGTTAGAGTGGGACAGCAGTCGAGATAGAGTTACGAGTGCAAACGTTTTTTTGGATTTAGGCCTACAAGCACAAGATACACAGTGAAGCCTCGTATGCGAGACTCTCGGCCACGCTGATGAGTTTGGCCTACTTTCACTTTCATTTGGTTTCGTTTCGTTTCGTTACCATTTTTTTTTGTTGTTTGTTGTTTCTTCTTCTTTTTTTTTTCTAGCTAGCAATGCTTTTTCGGGGCCTGGCTTGGCCCGGCCACAGCCGGTTTTTCCAACCATAGACCTACTGACAATGAAATAAAGTTGTTTCATATTTCATGGCAAGTTGAAAAACTGAAACTGAAACTGAAACTGAAACTATTTCAACGGCAGCCAAAGAGAGACAACAAAAACAACAAGCAAAGCCTAAAAATGTTGGCATAGAAAAATGCCTGTAAATTACTCATCAGTTGTAGACAAACCAGCGGCTTTGTGCGGACTTAGAAAACATGGCTTTGTTTGCCGTTTTTTTCTCTCTTTTTTTTTATTATTTTTCCATTAAGTAGCAACAACAAGATCTAGCATTGTATTTGCATACACGTAATAACAGACATTGCTTCGTATTCAGCCATATTTTTAAAGAAAAAAAAAAGAAAAAAAAGAAAAAAAAAAGAAAAAAGTTTTTATTTAGCAGCTAAGCAGTCTATTAATATTTGAATGTTTGAATGTTTTGCTCGCTTTGCTCTCGCACTTTCACTTTTGTCAATCGCAATTAGTGTGGCCAACAGAGAAAAACACAGACGACAAACGACAAGCGACAAGCGACAAACAGCAACGGCAACAAAATGAAAATAAAGTTTCTCATTTTAATTGCGCTCGTCTCAAAATGAGCCTACAACAAAAGCGAAAAAGCAATTTAATTGCTATTGCAACAATTCGTTGTCAAATCAAGCAACAACAACAACAACAACAAACTTAAAAACTTTTAATTGTTGTACACTGCCTGCAAAAAAAAAAAAAACTAAAAAGTTTAGCTTTTGGGCTTACAGATGTTTTGCTGTTTGTGCCCCAACTTGTCGCAACTAATTTAAGTTACAAGCTGCGGCTTACAAGCGGTTGCCTAATTGCCGCCCAAACAACTTGCCCAAAAGTGGCAAAATGCAATGCCAAATTTTGACCTTAAAATGGGCTCAATACACATACTATATAAATTACAATCAAATAATGTTGCTATTATTAACCCATTGCCGGCAACTGTACCTGCTTCGAGACACAGTGGAAATAAAATGTTGGCAATTCTTTTGGGCGATTTCATCATGCTCAATGTGCTTAATATGTGGGCGAATCAAAGATAACAAAACTTGAAAACCTCAATAATTATTTGATTCAATCGATAACAAGATTAGTGTAATAAATTCGCATGGAAATCAAAGGCAGTTTTGGCACAGAAACACTTATCAGTTTAGCTGCGAAAGGCATCAAACTTGGCAATAAATATATATATTTAATAATAGTATATATTTAATAATATAGTTAATTTTAGTTATATTAATTCTTGCAGATACATTTTCGTTTTAAGAGTTTCTTTTTGTCTATTTAAATTCCCAATTGAAACTTGAAAATAAATTTGTCTTATTTATTTCGAGAACTGTTATTATTTAGTCTTCAACTTTAGCATTAATTTATTTAATTTAATTATATTTAAATTTTAATTTATTTAATTTTATTATATTTTAATTTTAATTTAACAGATATCTGAATGCTGCTCATATTTGAATTTAATGAATATATTTTTTCAACAAGTTTAATTCATTTAACATAATTTGTAGAGAGTTTTGCAGTTGTCATATTTTCCAACCGTTAATAAAACTCGAGAGGTGAAAGACTCCCACGCAGCCAGTAAAATCAGCAGTAAATAAGCAAAAAAATGTATACATAAACCAAGGCACATTTTGGGCAAATCAAATCATGAAATATGCCGCAAAATTTCTACTTGTCGCTCGGTTGAACTAATATAAAAAAGTCATAAAATCAATTTCAATCAAAAGACGAACACACAAAAACAAAAGAATCGAAATATCAAAACAAACTTGAGATTATTATGTGCGGCGAAACGATGTCGTCGAGCGAGAAGAACAAGAAGCAAAAAAATGAGCATTGCCACAAAAAGCAAAAGCAAAAGCAGCAAAAGCAATTTGGAAGCCATAAATCAAAGGCCGAAATATGTGCAAAAATATTTGTGAGCAAAATAGCGAGCAGAGAATCTCTCTCTCTCTCTCTCTCTCTCTCTCTCTCTCGCTGAAGAGAAGGTGTCGCCCCTTCGATTGAGATACATTTGTATCTGGAGTAGTTTGTCGCTACTTTTGTACTAAACGACCAGAACCAGAACGTGCAATTAATGATTGCTGATTTCTGTGCGTGATGTCGCAATATTCAATAGGCTTCTAATGACTCGCCCATGCGCCCCTCAATCCATCTGTGCCAGTCTGCAAAAGCAGTTAACTTTTTTGTTTAGTCTAGACCAGTTAAACTTACAAACATCTCTTTCTGCACAGCTACTGCAGGTACTAAATTGTGTATCTCATCTGTATTTTTTTTGTTATATTCTCTTTTTTTTTTGTCACATGTGATGTGTGTTTTTCCGCTGCCTTATAGACATCTTGACAAGTTTGCCAAGGAATCTTAACGAGAGACCAGACGTAGTCGAGTGGAATTTTGGGCATGCTTAAATTAGCAGAATCACAATTTGAGCATTTTTTTGAAGAGATTTATGCCCATGTCGAATGCTTTTCTTATTAACAAATAATTGTCATTGAAAATTATTGTTAACAGCTGGTTGCAAAACACTCTTTTATCAACATTGCCATATAAAAATATCAGAATCGTTTACAGAGAAATTAATTCATTATTTAATTTGAATGCAATATATTTGTTGAATAAAAAGTTAAAAGTAAAGTAGAATTAATTGGTGCGTTATATTTTTCTGAATGAATGATACAAATCAACTTGAATAAATATTAATATTAATATTTAAATATTAATTAAATATCTTAGCGAACACTGAGTCTATCAATCAATCAATAAACATTCATTTAAATCTATGTACAATATAAAAAAAATTTCATAAAAAAAAGCGAGAAAATAAACAGGTAAAACTATTCGTGCATATTTTAATGCAAATTTCCAATTCAGTGAGGCAAATATAAAGCGCTTAATTTAAGGCATATAAATATTAAATATTAAATTGCAATATTTTTTTACATAAGTTACATACTTATTATTATTATTATTATTATTATTATTATTATTATTATTATTATTAATATTATTATTATTATTATTATTTTATAGTTAAAAATTAAGCTACTTAAAATATTTGAAATTATTTTAAGCAACGCAGAGAAACCTGACTTGATTCACTGTTTGTATTTGGTAGTTAATTAATTTCTTTGCCTCACGAATTAAAGTGAATTAAATTCGAGAAAATGTTAACTGAATGTGAATTGTAATTTCTGAAGTAGTCATTCAGCTTAATGCTACTTTTGTCTCATTGCAACTCAAGTTTGCTTTGCAGCACTTACCCTGCATTTTCGGCTGCAGCAATTGACATCTGTTGTTGGGGCTCATCTGTTAGCTGCAGCGTTAGATGTGCCCGTTGTTGTAGTTGCTGTTGCTGTTGTTGTTGCTGTTGTTGCAGTTGTTGTTGTTGCTGCTGCTGCTGTTGCTGTTGTTAATGTAGTCGTTGATTTGAAGTCCAACTGTTGGTGCTACACACACAGAAACACAGAAGAAACGCGCCACGGAACGTAAATGAAACAAACTGCAAAGATAGAAAAATAAGAGAAGCGAGTAGCATTTTTATTAGCATTTTTCTACAATTCTTTTGTAATATGTTTTATGGCATTATTTTATTTTGCTGAGCGCACAAAACGTTGTTCGGCTTGACACAAGTTGCCACACTCGACACACACACACACACACAGACACACACACACGCATAGTCGGAGGAGCATTTCGCCCCGGGAAAACAAGAAAAACTGGCAAAAGCAAATGCCAGCTGGCCACTTGAAGACTCAAGTTACAAGAAACACTTAGGGTCGGAGCCGCCTTCGACCTCACCTCGTCCCGCACCCAAAAAAAAAAAAAGAAAAAAATAAACCCCATCAGAATAGAGAGCAGCCCAAGCGAAATGAGTAAAAGGCGCCAAGTGTGAATCTCTATATGCAAAGCAACGACAATCTAGAGTAGGGATGAGGGATGAGAGGGGGCTGTGAAGGGGCAAAGACATTAGGTTGGGGCATTTATGTGTTGCCGCTGGCAAAGTGCAAGTTTTTCTTTGCTTTTCGGCAAAGCAAGGGTTAACGGTTAAGGCTTAGTACTAAATCGGTGCTAAAAATAAGCACAGTGGTCAACATAATCATATTTTTTGTACTGGCAAGCAGAGTGTTGCCATGTGATTTTTCGTCTATGACTCACTTAAGCGAAATGGTTAAGTAAATGTGCCCGATAAGAGGCCGATAATAGCAAAAACAAATAAACTGCGATTACTGAACGACTTTTCAACAAATTTTGTATGTATTATTTAATGTGATTTTGATTTTTGTGATTAATTTTCAGCACTATTCGTTCTCAGTCTTTATTTGTCTTTATATTTTTAATTTTTAATTAAAGTGTTCATATTTTATATTTATAATATTTCATTTTAATTTGTTTTTAGTCAGTATGAACTAAGTAAAAACAAAAATAGAATAAAAAGAATATATTCCATAAATCTAGATTTTTTCCGTAACTTTAATTTTGATTTATAATCTTTTTTTAATTTAAAAAATCACTTCTCAAAATTAAATTCTTTAAATTTAATTAATTTAATTCCATTTAGTTGTGTAAAACTTAATAATTGAATTTCTGCTGAATGATCTGATGTATTATTAAAAAAAATAAATTGTATTCTCAAATATGTATAAAAGAATTACTTATGTAAGATGTAAAGAGGGCTTAAGAGCTGACATTTCCACAAAAGCTCTTTATCTGTGATTCTGTAAATGTGCTTCGAGTATGAATCAAAAGATAACTACTAAAACTCTCCAAATGTTAACCCTATTTGACCCCCGCATTGTGCATTGTGTGTGCTTTGAGCTTGAGAGAAGCTGCCGTTGAGGCTTTTTCTTTGCCTTATCTTCTTTGCACTTGCTATCCGCTCTCCGCTCTCCGCTCGCTCTCTCTCGCTCGCGTAAGCTCATCAGCTGCATAATCCGCATGTGAGACAACGCATTCGCTTTGTATGTGTGTAAGTGTGTGTGTGCGTAAGTGTGTGTGTGTGCGTGCTTTTTTCCCTTGTTGCCAACGTGTCGTATACTCAATGCAGCCACATCCCAAAAGAACACGCACACACACACACACACACACACACACACACACACACACACACACATACACACACACACACATTTATGTTGTATTCATTTGTTTTTCATCTTCTTGCTTTTTTTTTTACATTCTGCTGCTGCATTCTTCTTGTCTTTGTACATTTTTTTCGCACAGTGGCGAGAAAGAGCGCGAATGCTTTATTGTTTTTGCTTTTTAAACAAACAACAACAACAAACACACACACACATACACACGCACACTGACACGCATAAGAAATGCAACTGCATTGGTTTTTTTTCTTTTCATTTTTTCATTTATTGTTTTTGTTTTTGTATCAGTGTTTTTGCTTCTCTCGCATTGTTACTGCCTTTGGCAGTGCACCCTTCGCTCATCGTCCCCCGTCCAACTCCCTTCGTCCAGCAGCAAAAACATGTTTTTATATAATTTCCTGTACGCGTGGCACGAAAGCAAGAAGCATAATCCGTCTCTCTCTTTCTCTCTCTCTCTCTGTCTCTCTCCCTGTCTCTCTCTATCTATCTGGTCATTCTTTTGTCATTTATTTTTGCTGATAATAATAATGCATTTGTTGTTGTTATTGCTGTTGTTGTTGTTGTCTGTCATTGTTTATAATTGTTGGGTTGTGTGGGTGCCTTGCAGATATGCACATGGATACATCCAGTATAAATAGTATATGTACACAAGTATGTATCTCATATCTGACATATCTTTGTACATTTTATACAAACATATTTTTTATAGAACTGCGTAAATTGAATTTCGTAGTTATTTTTCTTTGCATTTTTTTGATTGATTAAAGAAAGCACAACAAGTGCATTGTTTTGCTGTTGCAACAAAACATGAACTCATAAGTTGCTTTCCCTCCCCCCTTATTAATAAGTGGGCGTGGCAAGCCTGAGAATATCAAAGGGATTACCAGTTGACAAGTAATAAACATGTTGACAACGGTAAACTGTTAAGGAATCGAGGTATTTATCGATATAAATGTGTGAACAAAGATTTCAAGAATGCTGAGAATAATAATAATATAATAATTAAAATCAATAATAAATAAGTAGTTTTGAAAAGCTGTTAATTTGTTAATAATTGTATTAATTATATTATTATTATTAATTTATTCACGTGTATTCTTCTCAAATTCTTAAAGTACAAAAAGTAGTTAATCAATGCTTTGAATTTCACAATGAAAGATTTTTAATTGTTAGCTAAATAAATAACTGAGCAACAAACTAAATTTAGAATATGTCCACACATATTTACTACATTTGTTTAACTTGTTTTCTTCTTCATATTAAAATTCATCATTTGTCTTGCAGTATAAGCAAAAATACACTTCAATTTGTGGAGAATAAATAAAATAGATGTGAAGACGATGACTAGCGAATATGTACAATATTAATTTACGAGTGTGGCAACACTGTTTCTTAATGTAAAGCTTAAATATAATAAATGGCTTTGCAGCGCAAACTGCGCCAATACATGTCTGATTGTTTACTAACACACACAAATCTCAATATTAATTTACCGTAATATTTACTGAGTCACAGACAGCCGCAAAACACACACACACACACACACACACACATAAATCGCAAATGCTTCACTTGATCCCCAACAAAATCCAATCCAGCCGCAGCAACTTTTGACACTCGCTGCGAGGCGCTCGCAATTGAGTGTAATTTCAATTTAATTAAAATCTAAGCACGTCTGCAAAATATAAGAAACACAACAATTACGTTGCGACATGAGAATTTTCGCTGAACATGTGCAACAACAGCAACAACAACAGCAACAACATGCGCACATATGTATGCGTGTGTGTGTGTGTGAAGAAACAGACATGGCAACAACAGAAACTTCTTTTGCGCTTCTAAACGGTAATTTAGCCATTAAGCTAACGGTAAAATGTGCAGAATCTTGAGCGCAACAGACTCAGCAGCAGCATCAGCAGCAGCAGCATGCACAGGTAGACAGACAACGTTAATTTCTTTCGCTCTCTTCGATGCTGGCTGAGCTGTCGGCGTCGCCGTCGCCGTCGTCGCGCCGTTGCATAACTGGCTTAAGTTGCTGACTCAGCGCAGGCGAGAAAGCGGCGAACTCTGCTCTCTCCCTGCGCTGCGCTGAGAGAGAATTTTGCATGCGGGAACTTTCATTGAGCATAATACACATAGTGGAGAGTAGTGGAGATTGCGCTCTCAAACCAATTATGCTCAATGCTCTCTCTCTCTTATGCTCAATGATCAGGTTCTAAGCGCTTGTTTTACCTCTTCTTTTTTTTTTTTTTGTTCAGCCTGCTAATTTGTTGTGTGTGTGTGTGCGTGTGTGTGTGTTGCGTCTGCTCGTTATGTAAGCCCAAACAAACAAAAAGAGCAGAGCAGAGCAGAGGAGACGAGAAGATAAGGCAAAAGCATTCCAACAAATTTCACTCAAACGACAATCAAACAATTGGTCAATTCGTCATGCGCTCCACTCACGGAAATACAAATAAGCGCAGCAGCGGCAGCAGCAGCAAGTATTTTGTTTTTTTTTTTCGTTTATTTGTTTACTCCTGAAATTTACACGCAATAAATAAATACAAAACGTGCGTGTGTGAGAGAGAGAGAGGAAGAGGGAGAGAGAGTGAGTGAGAGGCATAAATAATTGTTGGCTGCGACTATCAAAATGCGTTTTGTTTACGTTTTGCCTGCCACTCGATGACTGAATGCAGTTTTTTTTTCCTTTCCACAGTCACTGATAAAAATAAAACCACAAACAACATTTGAGGCGACGGCGAGCGACGAGCGACAAGCGACGACAATAAAACAAACAACTTCCAGACTTGTGGAAAATATCTCAAGCGCAAAAAGGCAAAAGACGCTTGCAAAGCAGACGCCCCGAGTGAAAGATAGAGAGCGAGATAGATATAGCTACATGGATATAGATATAGATATAGTTAGAAAGACGCTGCTACAGCTGCTGCGAGCAGCGCTTTTAATTAACATGGCTTTGTGAAATTCTAGTGAATTTTATTTGATGATGTGCTGTGTTAATGACCACTATCCACAAAACATGCCAAGATCCAGATCCATACACTCCACATTCGAATGGGGCTTATCTTAATAAGTAGTTGTTGATTATGTAGTAGCAGTCGCCTGGAACTAATAGTTACGCGTAAACCTTTAAACCACAACAAAACAGTCGACGCCTGCTGCATTGTCAACTTTAGAGTATCTATGTGTGTGTGTGTGTATCTATGTGCATATATGTATATATATATCATATAAAATCCGCTCGCAGCTTATTTGGCCCAGCACATAAGACAACATTTGAAATGGCCATAACTTTTTAAGCGAAAAAGTGTTATCAACAAAAGCGAGTTTTTAATTAACCTTTTTAAGGATACAACTTAACTGATTTAAGCGCATAATTTAATCAAATATTTAGACACTCAATGCT